TTAGATGTGTTTCTGATAGACCAAAAATATCAATATTATTTTCTATAATATAGTTATATATAAGTAATTGTTTAGAGCTGGTTGAGAGGCCATTAGTGTTGAGTATACAAATTTTAATAGTTTGAGAAGTTGATATAGCATTGTTGTTAAAAAAAGAAGTATTTGATTATATTTGAAGATTATTATAAGAAGTATTAAAAGAAGATAAGGTAGAAATGGAATTGGAAGAAGTTGATTTAATAAAAGAGTTATAGTATGCTGGAAATTGATATGGTGGTATAATTCTATAATTCATTAAGAGTTAATTATTAATATCAAGATAAATATATACTTTATATGTATATATATTTAGAGATATTTTGTAAGGTTTATAGAAGAATTGTTTTAGAAGATAGTGTAAAAAAGATTTAAAAGTTTGATTAAAGTTAAGTAATAGGAGGTTGTGTTTTTTAAAAAATTTGTTATAGCAAGTTTCCTCAAAAGGATATAATGTAATGTTGTCTAAGGAGAGATTTTTGTCTTTTACAAAGTTGCTTACTATTTTAGACTCAGCTCTCACAGCTGTGCAGGTATCCAAAGTCTGTCTTGTGCATTGGGTCTAACTGTCATTATCTTGGACCTCTACATAAATAGGCTTATCCACCTGCCTACTTATATCATTCTCCTTATTAACTACAAAGGATGTATCTTTTAATAAGATAGTGGCTGCATTTATGTTGTTTGTAAAAGACAATGTTATTGAAAAGAATAATCTAAGAATAAAGATTCTAGATTTGTAGTTTTAATAGGTTGGAAGTTAAGATTGAATTTTTCTTTTAGTATTTTTTCTGCTTCTGGATAGGCAGAATTTTTGTAGTATTTGATAGTTTGAGAGAAGGTATAGGTTTGGCTTTGAATACAATCAAAGTAGGTTATGATTTTAGCTAAAAAATGGGTATCAATAACAGTATAGGTAGCTTGGTTTATTGCTAATTACTTGGAGTTGTTAGGAATATTGTAATTTTGTAAAGCTATTTGGTAATAGAGAGCAAGATATTTATAAACTCTATGATGGTTTAGACTTGTAGTAATATTATTTAGTTTACAAACTGCTTCCTCAGCTGTTTTTGCTAGATTTTTAAGTAGTTTTGTAGATATAGTTATTTTAAGAGTAGCTTTATAGATTCCATCAATATGGAAGATAGATGGATCAAGAGCGGGTTTTTTAAGTATTTCTGAATCTTTTTTTGGATATACTATGTAGAATTTTTCAAGTATATCTTTGTATAGTTGGTCTCTTTTATGAAAGAATTTTTTGTTAAGTATTCACAATTTTTATAATTACAAGTTAACATATAATAATTTGTAGCTTTGGTAGCTTCATGTTAACATTGGAGTGGTTTGTATAGTTCTTCGAATTTAAAATAAGATGGTAAAGATTTGCATAGTTGAGTAATAAATTGTCGACAAATTTTGTTTTTAAGAAGAAGATAAGTTTTATTTTCATTAGGTGGGGTGTTGAATTGACGAGAGTAGATTGGGAAGAATTTGTTAAACCATTCTTTGTAAATATTTAATGAGTTTGTTAATGGTGGAGTACAGTAGCTTTGTAGAAAAAAAGTTTCAGGAATATTAAATAAAAGTTGAATATTGAATCTTGAGTCTGATTTAATTTCAAAATATGATTTGTCTTCATCTGTACTTATAATAGATGATTTAATTTTTGGATATTTAGTTCTAAAATCAAAGTCTTCTTCAAATTTTTTGTAGTTGATAAATTAATATTTGTTTGAGAGATAAAGGTGTAATCGTGCAAGATTTAAGCAGAGATGTAATCAATTTTGTGCTTTGTAAGGTGAAACAGTGACAGTTGAAGCAAAGATTTCTTTGTAATTAAGTTTAGTAAAAAGAACTGTAGTAAATTGTAAAATAACTGTATGGAGTGTTGTTTTGAGATAGCTAAAAGGAATAGTTGTATCTGGGCTAATATCTGGATTATATTCAGAGATAAGATCCAATAAAAACTTAGAACACAAGCCAGCTATTGAACAAAGAAGATATTTAAAGGAAGCTTTATAAGTTGGTTAATTTTCTTTTTCTGGTTTAATTTCTTTTCTGGGAAAAAGTTATAAAGATGATTTTTAAGAAATTCAAAGAGTTGGTAAGAAAATTTAGTTTGAAGTTTTTTGTTTGGTTCCATTTTATGAGTAATAGAAAAGTTAAGTAGTTAATCATATAATAGATTTGGTTTAGATTTAGATTTAGGTTCATTTGGTTGTTTTGAGTTAGATACAGAGGTATTGGATAAACTTTGTGTATAATTATTGATTTCTTTGTTTTTTGGTATAGTTGAAAGTAGGTTAGTACCTTTAGAAGAATTAGTTTGGTTTGAGTTTGATAGTTGAGTAGAAATATTATTGCCAAAAAGTTGATTAATAGAAGAAGATTTTGGGGAAGAAAGTGGATAATCAACTTCCATATCAGTACTAGGTAATGGTTTTTGTATTGAGATAAGTGAAAAAAGATTGTTAAGAAGGTTTAATTTGTTATTTTTAACTTGTGTTTGAAGTTTTTGAGTTTGATTAGATTTTTGAAATTGGTTTGAGTTTGGTAAGAGATTATCTACTAAGCTGGTTATAGAGAGTGATTTAGCCTGCAGCTTAAATAAAAATGAAATTTTAGGTTTTAATTGAGTTACTGATTTATTTTGTTGTTGTTGCTGTTGTTGTGGATGCTTGAAATTGGGTTGATATAATTATTGTTACAAGATTTGAGGTGCAGCAGTAGTAGTTTGAGCAATATTTTGTTTAGTAGATGAGGATCTTTCAAATTGTTCCATATGTTGTCTTAAAACTTTATCTAGTAGTGTAGAGATAAAAGTGACTAAGGAAGAAGCAGTAGCAGCACAGTAAGAGTGGTAATAATTATTGCCTTGTTTGATTGTACCGCTTTGAGGTGAGTGTTGATCATTAATTGATTTGTAGTTAATTAACTGATCACATGTTGGGCATGTATGAGTATGAGGATATGGAGAAGGAGTAGTAGATGTTTTATTAGAAGGTTTTTGTTAGAGGATTGGGGATTTTAGGATAGTTTGAGTTGTGCTATTAAGTTGTTGAATAAGTTTTTTAGTTTGATGACTTGATGTAGTTGGGTCTATGTTGTGTTTAAAATCATAGATTTTATTATCTTGAGCTATAAATTTGGTATGATATCTCTTGCAAAGACAAATAATTATAGCAGTTGAGAGTGGAGTAGAAAAGAAGTGTGTAACTCTTTTAGCAATACGGAGTTCTTTATGGAAACAAGCTGTTAGTCGAAAATTTTTTGGAATTAGTAAAACATTTTCTGGATTGTCTTCATAGATTGCTACACCATAAGTTCCATGATGTTTTTGATAAAAATGGTCAAGATCTAATATATCTGGTTCTTGGCTTGTTAAAGTAAGCATGATAGAACAAATTTATTGGTAAATTAGAAACAAGGTTATGTTTGGCTTCAAAATGGTGTAATTTTTGTTTCATGTAACATTATGCTATAGAAGCTTCTAGATACTGTGGCTTGTGTAACTGTGGCTAGTGTGGCACAAATTGTATTGCATAACTGTAATTTAATAGGTACAAACTATAAAGCTTGTGTTAGTTAAATATTTACTAATTTGTAAATATTAAATTTTAATTAAAAATTAAAATAAAATTGGTGTAATTAGTTGAGAACCACTAATTTTGAGTTGTTAAAAACGTGGGTAATATGGTCTAAAAATAGTTGGTGTTGCACAAAAAACGCCTATAGAGTTTTTTGCAAAAAGAACTTTAGAAAAAAAAGAAAAAAAAACTTAAAACTGAAATAACAAACCAAATAATTAAACTTATACAAAAAACTACTTACAAAATAATTTTAATGGGTGAT